GCTGCCTCTGTTGACGAGCATAGCTGTAGCGCAGTACAGGAAGAGAGCTGCTCACCTTCCGAGCCAGACGATCTATTTGACTTACGTCACCTCGATCCGCAAGCGCAGTCTGCTATAGCTACTGTGCTCAACGACAATGCCGATGTCATCTCGCAGGGACAATTCGACCTTGGGAAGACTGATGTAGTAACACACAACATCCAGACTACATCTGATCAGCCTAAGAGACAGCCACCCCGCCGAATTCCTCTCAGTCAACGAGTCGAGGTAAAGCAGCACGTTGATCAACTGCTTGATCATGAGATTATATCTCCATCCAGAAGCCCTTGGGCTGCTCCGATAGTTGTCGTACGCAAGCCTGACTCTTCTATCCGGCTATGCATCGACTACCGGCAGTTGAACAGTATCACCGAGAAGGATGCCTTTCCCCTTCCTCGTGTGGACGATGCTATCGACGCTATGGCGGGTGCACGCTACTTCTCTACCTTAGATCTCGCAGCTGGCTATTGGCAGGTGGAGATAGATGAAGCTGCCAAAGCTAAGTCGGCGTTTGTGACACCGTTCGGATTATTCGAGTGGAACCGTATGCCGTTCGGCCTGTGTAACGCACCGGCAACTTTTCAACGCCTCATGAACCGGGTCCTTGGTGACCTAGTACCCAATATCTGTCTGGTCTACTTGGACGACATTATCGTGTTCTCATCAACGATTGAGGAACACATGAGTCGTCTGCAAACAATATTCAGTCGTCTTCGTCAAGCTGGCCTCAAGATCAAGCCCAAGAAGTGCTCACTGCTTCAGTCCTCAGTCACGTACCTGGGATTCTTATTCTCAGAGCAAGGTGTGGCACCGGATGCAAGCAAGTTCACGGCTGTTCAAGACTGGTCATCCCCAACATCACTGAAAGAGGTGCGTAGCTTTGTTGGTTTCGCATCGTACTATCGCCGCTTTGTGCCACATTTCTCAGAAATTGTAGAGCCCCTGAACCGTTTGTCCCAGAAGAATGCCACTTTCAACTGGACACATGAGTGTGAACAGGCATTTGCTGAACTGAAGTCCCGACTAGTCAAGTCACCTGTTCTAACATATCCTGATCCTGCAAAGCGCTTCATCCTGGACACTGATGCGTCAGATCTCGCCATGGGAGCTGTTCTCTCGCAAGTCAATAGTCACGGTGAGGAAGTAGTGATTGCCTATGCCAGCAAAGCATTAACGAGATCCCAACGTAACATGGGCAGTACACGCAAGGAGCTGCTTGCTGTTGTCACATTTACTGCACATTTCCGCCATTACCTACTTGGAAATCAGTTCACATTGCGAACTGATCACAAAGCGCTCATCTGGCTACATTCGTTCCGGGAAGTGGACGGTCTTCTAGCCCGGTGGATTGAGCGTTTGGCCGTCTTCGACTACGTCGTCACACATCGGCCCGGGAAGCAGCATGTCAATGCAGACGCCTTGTCAAGACTCCGCTACCACAGCCCGGCTACCGCAACCTCACCGACGCCAACGCCCGAGCAGAGAGTAGGTGAGCAGAATATTGTTGTCAATCACCTGTCTAGCGCTAGTCCTGATAGTAATCCTGTAACAGTCAATGCTGAAGTGTCGCCACCCAATTGGTGTGAGTCTTTCACTGTTGAAGAGTTGCGCAGAGCTCAATTAGAAGATGCAGATGTGAGTACAATGATCGGCTGGCAGGAGGCATTACTTGACAGGCCCCTGCGTAGTGATTCTGCCATGCACGGTGCGTCTATTGCATTGATACGATTATGGAGCCAGTGGAAGCGTCTAAGACTGGTTGATGGAGTGTTGTACCGGGTTTACCACCCCGAGAATAGCGACACACCGTACCTACAATTTGTTGTACCACAGTCTCTGCAATCCCGCATGCTTCAGTCTGTGCATGCTGATGTCTCTGGAAGCCACTTAGGTATTGAGCGAACACAAGACAAGCTTCGCAAGCGGTGTTATTGGCCCTTCATGTCGTCTGCAGTTAGTGAATTTTGCCAAGCATGTGATATTTGTGAGAGCCGCAAAGCACCGCTACCAAAGGCCAAAGCCCCGCTTGTCCAAGACCGCCCATCATTCCCGCTAGAGAAAGTTGCTATTGATATTATGGGCCCACTGCCTACTACGCCTAGCGGTAACAAGTATTTAGTCGTCATTTGTGACTATTTCACTAAGTGGCCAGAAGCGTTTCCTGTACCGAATATTACTGCTGAAACAGTAGCACATGTCCTTGTTGACGGCTTCTTCTGTCGTTATGGTATTCCATACCAGCTGCACTCTGACCGTGGTGCGCAATTTGAGTCGAGGTTATTCCAGCAGATCTGTCAGTTGTTGGATATCAGAAAGTCACGTACAACAGCATACCGGCCCCAGAGTGACGGCTTAGTCGAGAGGATGAATCGCACACTTGAGCAAATGCTGGCTGCTCACGTCGACGACCACCACACCAATTGGGACCGTCATCTGCAACGTTGTCTGCTGGCCTATCGGTCTAGTGTGCACTCCTCGACCAAGGAGACGCCAGCGATGCTCATGTTAGGTCATGAAATACACCTGCCTGTTGATGTGATGTTTCAGTCACCAGACTCTGAGCGCTCCCATGTGAACACGTATGTTATCAACTTACGGCGCAATCTACAACGAGCGTTCACGCATGCCCGTGATGCTGGAGCAACAGCTCAACGACGGCAGAAGGCCCACTATGACAAGCACGCTAAACAACCGAAACTCAACGTTGGTGACATGGTTCGGTTGCATTCTCCTGCCGTCAAACCAGGTACGACTTCCAAGTTCCATCGACCTTGGAAAGGCCCGTACACTGTGCTAGAACGTGTTGACGATGTAGTACTTCGGATAGCTGACAAATCCGGCACGACCCAGACTGTTCACGTTGACCGTCTGAAGGCTTGGACTGGCTCTGATCTGCCTGCAAGTGCCAATGAGCTCGTACCGAACTCGCCTCCGACTTCTATTGCCGACTACATGCCTGATGTTGAGTATAATATGCAACCAGTACCAATCCCGGCTCCAGTGCAGGCGCCACCTGCACCAGTAATTGCTGCTGCGCCGGTGCCGCCACCAGCCGCAGCACTGAATCATGCACCTGTGCCTGTTGTGCACCACTATGATCTGCGGAACCGTGCAAACATTCAGCCGCCAGCAAGGTTTGCTCAGTGAGTGTCTATGACTGTACAGTGTGATTATTGAGAAATTGTACATTCTTAGTTCAGAAATACACATATTTCACACAGTCCTACCTGTTGTTAGGTTAGTATGAATAATGTCGAGCATTTCACTTGCTGTTTCACAGTCCACTTACATAGCATTAGTAGTTTCTAAACTTTCCATTATACCTCACACCGATTAACTACACTTGTACCATACTTGCGCCACACTATTTCACTTTCCAGTATTTAATTTTCTCATGTAGAAAGCTATCACGGATATGCTCTAAGCTTTGTAACTTTCGGTCACTATCGTTCCCTCTGTAACGAGGGGGGAGGTGTAACATGTTGCACATGTTCCGTTTGGCGTAGTAATATTTCCACTCTTGATTGTAGCTATGAATGTGACTCTACTTCATGACATGTATGCATACGTCATTTGTACACACTCACAGGCACACACGCATGCGTATCTTTTCGCTGGCTCGCTCTGTTATGATGCTGGTTTTTCCTTTTGCTTGGAGAGAATGTTTTGGACTTGAGAGTTGCAGTTTTGATCTCAACGTCTTGTCATGGTTGGAACTGGTGCCTGGCTGGGGGCTGGGGAGTTTATGCTCCTGTGAATGTAATTGTAACCTCAGGCCAAGGTTACACATCTACTGCAAGCATACATGTGTATGATTTTGCCTAGACTGTATGCACAACACCTCACTCACAACTTACTCTGTGCTCTCTTCTCAGTAGCGAATCGCCTTGCAAGCGTCTCCAATGTGTCTAGCATTACAGACATCTCGGCATCGCTGCAGACAAAAGCAATACAACAAGACACATGGTTGCAGATCTGAATAGAAGTTTCTTTTCTTGATACCAAGAGTAGATAAACAAGAGTGTGCAACTCCGGATCTCTCCTGCACAATCTGCAGATACCCCTGCCCAAGGCGGATTTTTTTGTTGACGTCACCTTTTTTCAGAAAAACTTGCATTTTGCCGCAGAGCAGTGTGAGGGCGTGTGCTGGGCACCGACCTTGTAATGTTAAGCCGGGCCAAGTGCACAAGGCAAAACTTTCCAACAGACTCGCAGCGCGTGCGTCGTAGAAAAGATGAAGTCAGCAAAAAATTCCGCCGTGGGCCAACCCATCCCGGAGTTGCACACTCTTGTTTATCTACTATTGTTGATACTCATTTCCTCCGAGTCCAGTAAACCCAAGTCACTGTACTTATTTCTACAAGATAGCATCATATCCAGTCCAGCAACAGCACATAGAAGTTGAAGTCTGGTTTGCAACTTAGTTTCAGGGCCATGATACATTTCCAGCTCTGTGCAAGCACAAGTAAAACAATTCAACAACGCACCTCTTCTCCATGATGGCCACGTATTCCGAGAGGTCGGGTGGAATCATGTCCTCCGGCGCGGGCAAGCCTTCTAGGAACAGCTTGTTTTCTATGAACCGCTGGGCAGCCTAGTGGAACATAAATACAAGGTTAACAGGAAAGAAGGTCCCTAGCAACCAGTCCTATAAAATGGCAATGATCTTGCGAACCACCGTCCTAGCAAAGGTACTGGGGACTAAGAAGATGACAGGAAAAACGAAACTAAATGATGGCACCCTGGGTACATGTACTTGTGCACCTTCACTTCCACCTACATGATGTGTACCGGTTTGTCAATGGAGTGCACACCTGGCAATGCATTATACTAGATGGTGCACTCAGGGAGAGTTATGGCAGCTCGAGAGAGTGTCATGCATGAGCAGTACCGACAGATATTGGTATCCTGTTTTGTACAATTCCTTTTTTCGCAAAGCTTCCCCTTCCATTTTATCTTGGATATTTCGGGTGTTGTTGCTTTGCTGCGAATTGTAGTAAGACCACATTGTCAAGTTATCACCTGGTCTTGGCATCATCCTGTAACAGTATACATGCTTTGTTGCCGTCTGACATGGCTTTTGCGCATTTTCGCTGCGGTCACCGTCTTCCCCTCTTAGGTCCTACCATTACCTTGAATCTTTCCAAGTTGGAAGGCTGCTGGGTTTGCGCACTGGAGATGTGTTGACGCTAGGTGAGAGGTCGTTGAATGTATCAGTAGCCCGTCACTTTTGTGCTCAGTCATAGCACTTTCTGACTGCTTATTATCATCTTGTTGCAGTAGTTGACAGTTACCTATAACTCATACTACCATGTGTCTTTTATATATCTACATTTAATATTGGCTCAGTATCCGAGATAAATTAAAATCTTCATTATAAATAAACACATTTATAGAATAGAACAGGAAACAGATAGCTAGCTCTAAAACGAGGTCAAGTTTTCATGCGTTCACGCAATTTCGCGTATCCAGCCCAGAAGACACTTCACATAAGTCCTCATCGATTCCTCGTCACGGTGTGAACAATGCCACATAATTCGTTCACTGCGGTTTTCAACTCGGATACTGAACTAGTACTTGTAGTAAACGTAAAAAAGAGAAGAAACACATGAGAATGAGTTAAGCAGCAACTATCCACGACCGTAACAAGATGATAAACAGTCAAAAAGTGCGATAATAGAGCACAAAACTGACAGGCTACTGAGACACATTCAGCGACCCGAGACCTAGGTCTAACACATCTCCAGTGCACAAACCAACAGCCTTCCAACTTGGAAGGTTCATGGTTACGTAGGACCGAAGAGGGGAATGATTTTGTCGTTGTTATATTTTCCTTGTAAAACTTGATAAATTTCTACCTTGTTGCGAGTGTTGTACCTCACTACATTTATGCCATATAAATTTTAGTCTTTTTTTTCCACTTCAGCCATTCCCTGTATTGTCCTTGAAGTGAAGGGAACGAAAACGTTCGAAACCTTATGTGAAGTGTCTTCTGGATTGGATGCGTGGAATTGCGTGGATGAATGCGAACTTGACCTCGTTATAGATAGCTAGTTGCTTGTTTTTCATGTTTTAAAACATGGTGGCACAGAATACAGGGGAAATGCAGCACGGGACAGGAACACCACCGGTTGGGAATACCGATTGCAGAATAACACAAATGAACATGCAATGATCATTTTCCTCACCTGCTCAATGGCACGGTTGCAGTGTGACATCTTCACCTTTAGTTCTTCGTACACCGCAAGAGCTTGACAAGACTCTGTGCGTCATAGAAAATAAAAGACGGCAAATGGAGGGAGTAACGCTCAGAAACACTGCTTTGTTGACAATCATCCATCACATCTCAAGACAGGTGACACAGATCTAGCAATGTGAGCTATAATTGTGCCACGTGACCATGACAGGTTCCTACTTTGACCTTGTCGCAATTCATCTGCATGTGTCATGATAGGCGCAAAGCCAGCAAGGATTGAAAATTTTCACGCGAACTAACGTGAACACATTGAAATGCCGAAGAACAAATGTACAATAGAAAGCCATACATTACTCTTTATTTGAACTCGGATGGTGAGCCAATGTAATCATGGCTATAAAAGGAGAAGGACAAAATAGTACGAGTTATGACTAACTGTCCATCAATATAACCAGAGCATACACCGTCAGCGAATGCGACAAAAAGGCACAAAACTGACAAGGAGTGCCGAGACGTTCAACAATCAGACACCTAGCTCCAACACTTCTACGACACGCACATCAACAACCTTCCAACTTGGGAGACCTGAGCTTGACCTGACTTGAGCCTCCTAAGTTGGAAGGTTGTTGGTTTGTGCCTCGAAGAAGTGTTGGAGCTAGGTGTCAGGTCGCTGAAGGTCTCAGTACTCCTTGTCAGTGTCGTGCCTTTTAGTCGCACACGCTGACTGTACATTATCTGGTTACAGTGGTGGACAGAACTCGTACCATTTTGACCTTCTCCTTTTATAATCATGATTACGCCCTATGGTCACATTTACCGCCATATATGGCACATCACAGCCACATTACAGTCTCATGGGGCACATTACAAGCTTTGTGAGGCACATTACCGATCTCTAAGATACTGAGTATCTGGATGAAGCTGTCTGCCTCGGGTTGGAAGCTACAGCACAAACACAAAAAAATGTAAGAGCTCCATTTTTTAGAAGTATTGACAGAGGTCAATTAATTGCATTTTGCAGTAAATAATTCCACTTCTTCATTGGTACTGGCATACTGCACTCATAAAGAGAGAAAGAGAGAGAGAGAGACAGAGAGAGAGAGGCGGGGGGGGGGGGAAGACGGAGAGAGGGAGGGAGAGAGGGAGGGAGAAAGAGAGAGAGAGAGAGAGAGAGAGAAAGAGGGAGAGAGAGAGAGGGGGTGGGTGTGGAGAGAAAGCATGAGAGGTGAGCTGCCAGATAAGGTACACGTATGAGACTCCCATTTAAAGTAGCGAAGAGCCGCTGCAAATAATTTTACGAGTAGAACACCAACAAGTTTTTGAACCGTTCGTGGCACGCGAACCTAAAGAAAAGATAATACCACTGCATAGTGTGCAAAACAATGCCAGCACGTGAAGAGTTAACGAAGCAAGACTCAGCTGCAACTCAGAGAGAAACGGATGTACACCATTGTTCATAGTATCAGGCAGGCTCAGACAGTTAGCTTACAATGAAAATACAGCATTCCAAATCTTCTGCAGCTGTGACAGAGACGCCTTCTGTTTGGTAAAGTACTCTAGCGTGTTCTGATATTCACCGCTGATAATGGTACTGATAACAGTGAGAACAATACAGTGGGGAGACAGACAAAAAAAAAGGTTAAGCTCAATGATGATATTATCTTCTGCTTGCTATTTGCCCCAGAAACATGTGCTGGCTTCCTTGTCTCAGTTAATAGGGCAAGTGAAGCATTGCCGATTACCTACCACATACCGATACTCTACAATGTTCTGATATTCTGGCAAACATATGTCACAAGCCGTAATCTGGACACACCTAGGCGATGGGCCCAGGTATCACACAGCAATTTTCGCCATGCAGTTGTTCACAGGCAGCATTGGCGGAATTGTCTTTCTTTAGAAGTATCTGTGTATGTACAGTAAAACTCCCCAGATCCAGACACCCCTAATCCGGGCATGTCCATCTACCAGGCACCTTTCTGACCCATCTTTAAAGTCACAAAAATGGCTTTCCAACGAAAAACAGCTCCAAAAAATATTAACTAAAAATGCTTGCTTGCATGCAGTAAGTAAGTATGTATGTTCTCAGCTAAGGTCAATTCCTAGGTACACACGGACAGTGCTGGGTCCCAACCTGTTCGGATTACGATAGGTTTACTGTACTTGCAAGATTTTCTCGCCAAGCATGGCATGCATTTTCGACTATCGACAAAGCAGTCCACACAAGCAATAAGCCCACTCTCACTGGCTCGTCACCTACCCAAGGACGCTGACAGAACGGTCTGCGCACAAAACATTGCGCTTCAGAAATCGTATAGAGTTCTGAACAAGGTGAGCTCTTTGCCAGAATCGCTGCAACAATGGAAAGTAGATCAAACATGCAAATACAATACATACACAACAGGATCAGGTACTGCAGCATAGTCCAAGAGAACTCAGTGCAATAGAGGCAAAGCCGTGAGATGGCAATGATGAAGCTTGAAGGTGTGAACTAAATCGGGCCATCTGTTGTTTCACACGGAACATACAAATGTGGCGAATTAACTTCTCGGGATTTGCTGTTCTCATGGGGTGTGGCGCTACTATGCAAATCTTGCATACAGGGATATGCTACTAGAAGACATACTGTGAAATAGTTGAACAATGACCAAATCGGTGCAGCCAAGATATAATAGTTGCAACACACCATCCTTTCTCCCTGCCGGATGGGTGTTTGTGCGCATGCTTGTGCGTAAGCCTTGCGCATGCACTCCAGTCACATCAGGTTCCCGCATTGATAATAATTCTCAAACGTCTTCCCCAGGAATGCTGGTCGTTACCGCATTCTTACCTAATGCTAATACCAATTCAACAGCAGAAAACGCTCCAAGGAATGGTGCATGACAGTCACTTTCTCGTCAAACTTGCAGCTAATACAACCATGGTTCTATGCAAGGAAGCTGTACCCCTACCAGGAATTGAGCACAACGAGAGCTGAGGAAGAAATCTGCTGTGTAAACATACACAGTATGCGTTACCATGGTTACACACCTGTATTTGATAGAGATCGTCACTGATGGTTGGTTGGGTGACAGCGGACGCAGTAGCAATCGGCTCCAATCCTGTGCGGCCATATAACAGAGAATGGTAGACTAATTTTGATTAGAAAACATAATGTCACAGTGAGACTACGATGTGTTTTACTCCGAACCAAAATTTCATGGCTCTGCGATGACCAGAAGCGCCGTTGCTTCGCACTGTGATTTGAGTTTTACGTCTTTCGAAAAATCAACTTCTTGTCGCAGGTAAACAGCGGCTCGCCTCTCGCCAATAAAGCACCGTATACCAATGAAAACTAATGGAAGCACACACAATACTTATTGTTACTCTGTACTGGCCGTCGTGGAGCGATAGCAATTACCTAATTTCAGAACTCAGAGTGAATTTGGCGTGCACTCTAAAACCTTTCCGGTTTGGAGCCACCTCTGATTTGAAGCGAAAATTGGGCAACTTGGAGGCAATGGGCCAACACAAAGGAGTGGCTCAGTTTGATTGACTCTGGCCTCAGAGCAAACTTCAACATGCCAGTTTCCTTCCACAAACATATTTCGAGTGAACAATCCACGCTGATGGTTTGGGTCAATACAAATTTGGCTGTCAAGTATCGAACCGTCTCATCTACATGTATTTTGTTTGCCCCTATCATGACATGTACGCGAGAAACAAATGAAGAAATAATTTGAGATTGTAGACTCACCAATGTCAACACGTGGCAAGTCATCCTTTCTCTCCCAGCTCAAGGCACGAAGGACAAATGGGTTTCGGACCTGTAATCAGCGCAACAATACCATTGTCACAGGCACATGTAATAGACACAAAGGCAAACAACTAGAAACGTGCTACCCATTGGCATTGATACCGTGCACTTAAAAAGCGCATCTGGTATTTACAGTGTATGTGGTTCAGAAATACAACAAAAAAGAAATACAACGCAGTTACAGTATTTGTGAATTTTGTTCAGGGCTCAAAAAATATCTGCCGATGGCCAGTTATAGGAAGAGTGTGAAAGCTGGAAGTGCAATGATCAGTTCCCTCTGTGCGTGCTGCACCAGACGTGTTATCCTTACCAAGATATTCTCCTTCTTCAAATGGACCTTTGGTCAGTCATCAAATGGCGCACTAATCTTGGGAGTATGCCATGTGTAAATTCAATCTGTTTCTTGTCCTCTTTGATACACATGTCATTTTCAGTGGCAATTTTCTGTCCAATGCATCCATGCAAATTGAAAATTCAAGCAAAATTGAGTGAGAGCTTTGCTTTCCTCCCTGCTCCATTTTCTTTTTGTAATTTTGCCATGGCTGGATATCGACCTCATCTCTGGGGCTGCTCCCCATACTAGGGTTGCTCACATATGCAGTATCAGAATGAGTGAATAAAAACTAAAATAAGAATGACTGAGCTGAGCCACTGGACAAGCACACACCTGCCCAAGAGTGCACTTACAGACGTGACCGGGACTGGCATCTGCTGGTATCTTTCCTCTGTAAAGTCTTGCGCCTGCAGTGCACCAAATGGTATGAACCACAACTGCTGCTGTCCGACAGGGACGTCGCAGAATTTTGCGATATCTAGAGACAACTTCGCCACCCTGCACAAACAAATTACACCACCAATCAACTATAGAACAAGCATTGGTTCAATCAAGCCTAGCCAGCTATTGGTGTGAATTTTGAAATGTACGCAGGGGCGCAGCTACATGCTGAATTGTGGGCTTGAGGCTCTGAATTGATATTCAATGGATAGCTTTAAGTTGCCCTGTCCTTCTTGGTCATTTGATGCCAAGGGGAGGGGAGGGAATGTGGTGAGCAATGTAATATTATACATGTAGAGCTAGACTAGGAGCCTGTGCTTTCCCGCCGACCTGACTTGACATTTGAAAGGGCGAGCGCCAGTGTGGGAGCGTCCAACTTCCTTACCAAATTATCGCTGAGGTCGCTACCACTATTTCGAGCTAGACTAGGGAATGGGTTTGCTCCCACACTGGAGCTCGCGCTATTCCGCCGACTTGACACTTGACTGACTCACGACTGCCATCCAGAGCACACGAGAAGGTCGGCGGAATAGCGCGACAGGCCCGGCGGAAGCAATTGTTGATTGGTCCGGCCAAGTTTTTTCGCCAGCACAGCACTTGCGCACGTGTGACACAACACAACGTCTCTTTGCTTTGATCGTAGGTCAACCAAGACCATGTCTTGAAATAATTATGACGCCTGACAAGAGCGCTTCACCACTGTCTTTTTCCTAAATTCCCGCCGAGGAAAGGCGAAGGAAGTGGTTGGGTGGACTGGCACTTCTGGCACAGATATTTCGCTGGAAGAAGCCATAGCTGCTAAGCATGCAGCACAGCACTTGCGCACGTGTGACACAACACAACGTCTCTTTGCTTTGATCGTAGGTCAACCAAGACCATGTCTTGAAATAATTATGACGCCTGACAAGAGCGCTTCACCACTGTCTTTTTCCTAAATTCCCGCCGAGGAAAGGCGAAGGAAGTGGTTGGGTGGCCTGGCACTTCTGGCACAGATATTTCGCTGGAAGAAGCCATAGCTGCTAAGCATGCACTGCAGCTAAGCTAACCAAACAGCGAGAAAAATTTGAAAAACTACTTTGTTCAGTAAAAGAATCTGAAGCACTCGACGAAAAACCCTCAAGACTACAAAATTAATTACAATGTAGAATCCATCATATCATGGCACGTGCTTTCAGGTCGCGCCATAGCTACAGGCGCCGCCCACACACAGGCGCTAGGCCACAGCTAGCCCTCAAGCGTGCACGGCAAGATCAGAGCGAGATCGCAAGTACGCGTACATGCAATCGATGATCACAACCAGGGAGTAGTAAAATACAGGGAGGTGACACGAGCATGTACGGCCAGTTTGACGATTGCCTCAGCACCGTTTTCACCCGGCGGGTGAGATTGGGGTACTATGGGTACCGAAGTGTGTAGACACGCGCGCGGATCAGGATTCTCTCGATCAGGGAGTAGTAAAATACCTACCGCCAAAGAGACTCCTACTGCAGCCCGTAGAAACTCAGCGCTGAGAATTTCCAACAATTGTCTGCCTTCACAAAGTTTGGTAGTCGACCAAACTACCACTACAAGTATGTCAGGATAGAAGTCCAGCAAGAGTGGTATCACTTGGGGAGATATCCCTGCGTGCCGTAGATTTTTCCTGTGTCGATACAAGCTGTTTACGACGACGTAGCCCGCATTTCAATCCTTCACAAACTTAGGAACATTTCATTCCGAAAAGTGAACTCCCGAATCTCTAGCATACCATAATATGAAATGCTCATCATCACAAAGAAGGTAGAGAAGTACTGGTTGATCACAACTGAGGAGAAATTAGTGCCGATCGTGTGGTGTCCTAGAGATTTTTTCGTCTTCGAAATCGGTGCACTCGCTTTTCATCTCCAATCGTACACGTATTGTTCTCAAGGAAATCACCTTCGTTCTATTGCTCCATGCCGTCGATCGGGACGAATTTCGGAAGGGTGGTACCTTTTCATATGACGATGACACAGACGTATCACAAGAGCAAAACAAATGCTGTTCCATGAGATGGATAGACCTTTTCACGAAATTAGTTCTTCGACAAATACTCAAGATTGATTCAGCAGATCATCTTTTTTTGCGAAAGAATAAAAAACAAGCGCGAGGCACCCATCAAAAATCACGATTAGTGGCGTGTCACCTCCCTGTATTTTACTACTCCCTGATCACAACAGTCATAACGTTACTGCGTCGTAAAAAAAAATCGTCGGTGGCCGAAAAGTTGGTCCGGCCATGGCCGGACCGACCGGAGCGGCTCCGCCGGCCCTGCGCGAGCTCCAGTGTGGGAGCAAACCCATTCCTAAAACATCATCGCCGAAGCCGCAACCACTATATTTAGACTAGGGAAACTATAAACTCTCTCACCAGGGCCAATGGCAATCAGCACTACTCCAGCCGGCTTCTCACCGGGAAAATACCGACAAACAGTGAGCGCATGCGAGTGAGTGACTTGCCACTGTGACAGAAAGTAGCAGTCAAGAAAAGCTAAGATAGCTTTCAGTCTCTTGTTGAGAGGTTGCAAAGTCAGGTTTGTAATTGTGTAGCTTTGGAATGATGTTTTGCTTCAAAGGGCACGGAATAGAGGCCTGGTCCGATCAAGACATGGAGTCAAAGCAGCCGCAGTGGTGGCCACCATGCCTCAGCTAACATCTCTGTGAAGAGAGTCAGTATCAGCAGCACCAGCAGCTTTTTATTAAACTGGAAAAGCACCAGTTAAGCTGACAAAGAAAGGAGAGTAAGACACGACGATAGCCTGTGTGGGGGAGGGGGGTGGATTCCACCTGAAGCTTTGCACAAACCCTGACAAGCGTATTTTGTGTCGATTTGATTATCAAATGCAGCGGAGAGAGAGAGAGTGTGTATGGGGAGTACGGTTTTAAATGGTGGTTGCCACTGTGACAGAAAGTAGCAGTCGTGAAAAGCTACTTTCAGTCTAAAAGAGCCAATGTTAACATGGAATAAAGTCTGAGTATTCGTTTGAAACACCCAAACATGTAGCAGGTCGTCAACTACCTCTGTGTGAAACCTCAGCTGGGCTGGGAGGGAGGGAGTCTGCTAGCATCATTACTAGCAGCCGGACTCAAGTAGCAAAGTAGAAAAGTAGTGGGTATTGGTGATGCAAGATTCAGCGTTACTTACATATCGCCTCGGTTCATCAACACCTCATAGTGTGTGCAGGTGTCCACATGGAAAACATGAGCTGGCCGCGCCGCAAGTAGCTCATCGGCCAGCTCAAAGTACTCCTCAAATGACACGAGGTCAGCATCCGTTTGCAGTGTTTTCCTCAGGATCATCTCGAGCCGCGCTCTGAATGACCTACAGAAGATGTGAACACAATCGTAACTGAAAGCTTTAAGGCAGCATCATAACGCATATATGACCACTACAGTAACTTCAACTACGGCAGAGCAATAAGAGCTGTTCGGAACACTCTGGGTGCTGGTGTAGATCAAAAGAAACACAACCCATCCACAGTCAACTGACCCGTCCACAGTCAACTGACCCATCCACAACCAATAGACACTAACTCGTCACGTCCAATGGTTTTCTCCAGAATTCATGAATGACTACTTTGTGACGAAAATTGGAATTTCAATAACCATCATAACCATCACCTAACCATCCTCCGAGTTTAAAAGGCAAAATGGTACCTACCTACCTACGACCAAAGTTGTTCTTTTTCCCGTTCCCTCTTTTCCAGAAGTTGATCACATAACACTCATGTGTTTGGGATACAGCGAGACAATACAGACTGCTGCATGTGAGAAGGGGAGTAGGCCGACTGGGTCATGTCATGTCCAGAACCCAGGCAATTACACCACAACTTGAAACAGTACTTTACTTCTTGTATGCTGATACTTGCTAATTGAAGTTGCTATACAGTAAAACCTGTCAAGGCGACCACTCGGATAAGGCGACCACCTGTCCTAGAAGACCACTGCAACCGGGACAAAGGGATGCTATTTCGAGTCCAATGACCCTGGACAAGGAGACCACCTGGTAACGGAGACCACGTTTTGAAGGTCCCTTGAACGGTCGTCTTAAACAGGTTTAGCTGTACATTACTGAGCTTGCCAGGCAGCATTTGGAATTATACCCGGGTGCCCCCCTCCCCTCCCTCTCCTCATGGAGAGGTTCAAAGCAGTTGGATTAGCTCGGCACTGTGCATCATACTCGGACTATTGGTCTCATGCAAGTGTCCTGACAAGGCCTGCCGCTCTTACTTGGAAAGTTTGCTGTCTGATGGTAGTTTTGTCTCGTAGATCAATCTGCCCTGTGCGTCAGTTGTTCTAGCAGCTATGGCATCACGGGGTTTGTTAGCCAACAGTTGTTCAGTCCTGAAATGAAGAGCAGAGCATATAACAGCGTCAGGCAAGGTGCCCTAATAAATGCACACAAAACACATCTACTAACACCTTTGGATTATTTGAGTGGTACAATGCAAAAAAGACAATACTTATGAAATAGTGGAGGTGTGCGTATGCACGTGCGCGCACACACACACACGTGTGCTCGTTAGGCCCCGGTGTAATATGCCCGAAACTTTGCCGAAAATGCTTTTGGGAAATTCTCGTAAACCTTGCCGAAAATGCTCCCAAACCTTGCCAAAAATCCTCGGAAAATGCTCACTTTTTTGTAATCCTTAGCACACGCCGTCAAAACCAGGGAGTCAGAAAATACTCAATAAGAGACTTGCTCGAGTCTGCCATGGTAAACAATTCGTAAACTACTCAACAAGAAGCTAACCCACGGAATGCGGAAGTGACGTTCTTGTTTGGGAAGTTTTTCTTCTCTCAATTTTGATACACAACGGCCAAGTGCTCCGTTTCCCCCCAAAATGCTGCATCACGAGCCCAAAGTGCAGGGTTCGCGGATTGTACCGAAAATGCTCAAAAAATGCCGCCATATTACACGGGGGCCTAGTGCTCGTGGATGTACAAACATATATTGCACTCTTGAACGCGTACACAAACATGTATGAAATCCAGCATGTGTGCGTGCGCACACTCCAGAATGCATGTCGTTAGGTCCACACAAGCACGTATCTTATATTGCCACTTACACATTTGGCTGTTGTTGTCGACCTTTGCCCTTTTGGAATGGCAAGACTCCGGTAGCGCACTGATACAGGGTGGTACCAATACTCCATAATTCCACCTGCAAACGTTGCCATACCAGAACCACAGCTGACCAACTTTAGGCTTACTCTATCATACTGTAATTTGAGAAACCTACGAGGACAAAATATTGACTACTACAATAATCCGTGTGTGTGCACAATAACCGACATGCAGTATGCCTCCCAGAATGCTCAGTCACATGACCGCCATCAGTGGAAGTACAGTCACATGACCACCATCAGTGGAAGTACAGTCACATGACCACCATCAGTGGAAGTACAGTCACATGACCACCATCAGTGGAAGTACAGTCACATGACCACCATCAGTGGAAGTACAGTCACATGACCACCATCAGTGGAAGTACAGTCACATGACCACCACCAGTGGAAGTACAGTCACATGACCACCATCAGTGGAAGTACAGTCACAGGACCACCACCATTAGTGGAAGTACTTCAGTACAGTCACATGACCACCACCATCAGTGGAAGTACTACAGTGCCGACCAATGAAGTCCGCCTACTTTGCACCGGGGGGGGGGGGGGGGAATTGCACCAGTTCACCGTCTCAGCATTCGCAGGTCTAGGGCTGCATAGCTCCCCGCCTGGCAGTGACTCGATTGGTCGGATTTCATTGTGCAGTACATGTACTGTGCATCATATAGAGCTGTTCATGAAGGCATACTAGCCTTTTTTGATTTCAGTCATGAGTACATACTTATAGATCATTTGAATAATTGCTATTCAGGTACTCCCAATTTATTTTGGAAGTCAATCTTAGATTATGATTGAAACACAGCCATATGGAAGCAACCTGTTGTGGACTACGGATGCTCGGTCTGGACAAGTTGAAAGACACTTTTGAAAACCAACTGGCAGCAGTGCTCCAAGCACACTCACCATCAAGTTCAGCGAAACCCAGACACATCCATAAAAAAAAGATTTTATAGATGATTTTGCAGATATGCACATAATATAAATTAAACACAGAATATCAGGACTGCATAGATCAATTTTTTTTATTTCGACAGCATGTTACAAGGCGAGGACGCATAGTGCTCCTGACTACAACCATAACCCGGTTGGCAGAGTCCCTCGCCTTGTACCATGCTGTCGAAATCGAAAACATGTTAAACTATCAAGCAAGGCTGCTATAATTATACCATAGATCTACTTGTAGTAACACATCATAGACATAGTACACAACACACTACAGGTGAGAGTACTTACCTCCTGAACAAAGCGACCAGTACCAGCACGTTGGTGCACTTGCAGTACTCTAGGATGCTGTGGTCACATGACGTCGGTGAAGAGAAGATCAGGCAATTGTACATATCAGTATACGGGCAAGCCGGGAAAATGATACGAACACTAGAAGCGAGCTAGTCTAACCATGCAAGAAGCGCAATGCATAGCAGTGTCTGCTCCAGAGCCGGGTCAGCCAGGTCAGCGTTGGGGGGGGGGGTGTACTTGGACCTGTTCGGGAAAAAGAACGCCGGGTCACTTGTGACCCGGTTAGGAATACATATGCTACATATAACTTGTATACAACAGCCGGGATGTCCCAAAAAATGTACAGCTCCCTGGTGCACTTGCAGTAGGCTAGCGGCGCTTGAACGTGCCCGGTTGGAAGAGTGTTGCCAGGTACACGTGTACCTGGTTGATTTGAAATCCTGGAGCAGACACTGCATATCCCTCATACCGTAAGTTGAGTCATAACCCTCACATTGTAATTCACCCACGCACCCACACATGCACATATGTGACTGCACACACAAACATATAACTTCTCAGCTTACCAGGTATTCTGGCGTGCCAACGATGGATGTAAACTCTTCACCAACATCCAGATGACGAGAAGCGCCAAAGTCAGATAGTTTGTAGACGCATCTGGAAAAGCAAGAGAGAGAGAGAGAGACAGACAGAGAGACAGAGAGAGAGAGACAGAGAGACAGAGAGAGACAGAGAGACAGAGATAGAGAGAGAGAGAGAGAGAGAGAGAGAGAGAGTGAGAGAGAGAGACAGACAGAGAGACAGAGACAGAGAGACAGAGAGAGAGAGAGAGAGGTAGATAGATAGAGATAGAGAGAAAGCGCGCTGCCAAGTCTGAGTACAAACAACAAGTACAGGACAGTGATATACAAAAATGGATTGCAGGTACAGGTACAGGTACAGGTACAGGTACAGGTATAGGTACAGGTACAGGTACAGGTACAGGTACAGGTATAGGTACAGGTACAGGTATAGGTACAGGTATAGGTACAGGTACAGGTATAGGTACAGGTACAGGTATAGGTACAGGTATAGGTACAGGTATAGGTACAGGTACAGGTATAGGTACAGGTATAGGTACAGGTATAGGTACAGGTATAGGTACAGGTACAGGTATAGGTACAGGTACAGGTATAGGTACAGGTACAGGTACAGGTACAGGTACAGGTATAGATATAGATATAGGTATAAGTACTTGTTGAACGTGCTGAAAACATGTTAGAGCATTGTCACTGAAAACAAGAGAGAGTATTCATGATGCTTTACAGTGGGCATACTCACTTGCCACTGTCGGTGATGTGGCGCATTATGTTCCCCGGCTTGATATCCCGATGTGCCCAGTTCTGTTCGCGCAAGTACCTGATTCCCTCAGCTTGAGAAAGAAAGAGGAAGAGCCGGGAAAGAGAGTGAGAACAGATCGGATAAAATGTACAACTGCATTGACCCATATCAAACATCATAATTATTATTATTTCAGTAATTTTGAGTACTTGGTATCAACTTCTGCAAAGACAAAGTCAGTAGTAATTTAGAAAAGGCCTTTCGTATCATTATTTTTCAAATCAATTACATGCAAGGTAATACTGAGATCAACAATGACAATATTCATAAGTCTGACGGGCTGAAAAGGGGAACTTCTAAAGAACAAATTGACTGTTGCCACCAGGACTCAACCAGGAACCTTCGCTCGCGTAGTGATTCGAGAAGCAATGATAAGTGTTCCATATGACATCACAAATTCGATTGCAAGTGGCTTCGTCTTGGCGTGCGATGACCCTGATCACAGTCAAGCTGCTTTAGGATGAACTTCAAGGGACTGAACAAGTGTTTGTCTTATCCAGAATTCTTTAAATACAGAGTTGACAAAATGTTATATGCATATCATACGCATTGGTTTGAGGGAAAGACGCAAAACGGGAAAAGCCACAAAACCCCTGTGTTCTGCAAGTGTGAGGGGACTTCGTTTATCCGGGAGCTAACATAACCACAGAGCTATGGTGTAGCTGATACATATCATATGGATTGTATTGATGTGAAGGTGCATGCCGTGGCACATGTAAAGCTTTGATTCATAGCATAAGCCAGCAACCGGTAAGTACAATAATGTGTAGTGAATTCATGACAGCATGTCCTCCGCCTTGCAACATGCTGCCGTTTTGCCCGTACAAGAGGCCTCGACTAACGGAAAAAACTACAGCCAGCACACGCATTGAGACAGAAAGTTTGTACTACTTGCTGATTCTGTTCGAATCACGCTTGAAAAATAGTTTGTTTTCACGAAAGTTCACCGTACAGGAGTTCGTCTTTAATGAATAATTTTGACTTGATTTCATTCCTGGCCAACCACAGGATTGGCCCTAGTTCGTACTAATGGAAAGTTCGCCTTATCAGTGTTCACCTTAAAAAAGAGGTTTGACTGTACTAGCAATATGTATTATGTGTGTGTGTGTGTGTGTGTGTGTGTGTGTGTGTGTGTGTGTGTGTGTGTGTGTGCCCTGCAAACGCCCGCAACATGGTCCCAAGAAGCGCTGGCGGGATGTTGTGTCCTCGGACTTTGCTGTCATCGGTTTGTCTGAAGCGGACTGGTATGACACAGTGCAGGAGAGATCCACCTGGTTTCAGTGTTGTCGACAGAGAGTCGAGAAGGAAGCCCCAGACTTCCCGTGCCCCAACTGCCGCTGTGACAAAGAGTTCCGTCGTCCTGGTGACCTCAAGCGGCATGCGCCATACTGCAGATTTCGAGTTTAAGAGCCTCAGCGTGAGGAAGCCATCGCTATCATTGCTACCGCAATGGGCGTTCAAGGTGTGTGTGTGTGTGTGTGTGTGTGTGTGTGTGTGGTGTGTGACGGCAGAAGCCGGTTTCGGAGCAGAGAGGTGCATGTCAGTGCCCTCGGTGTCATCGCTGGTTCCGGAGCCGCGGAGGCTTGGCTGTGCATCGTTGCTCCGCTTCTACCTCGTGCCCAGTACCGACCGAACCAGCTGCTGTTGTCACCGGTGACACTACCGCTCGGAGTTGCTGCAATGCTCACTGTGGCACCTGCAATCGTTGTTTCCGCTCAACCCAGGGACGCAACCGCCATCGCTGTTCAACGCACTGCCACCGACCAACGGCCAGAGAACGGGACAAGTTCCCGCATATGTGTATCTGCTCTCGCCGGTTCCGACTAGTCTCGCATCTGGAGCGCCATCGGGTGGCGTGCTCTTTCTCTCTCTCTGCTGCCCCTCCGGGGCCCACGTGACCCTAGTGGTAGTGGCTCTACAGGACAGGACAGGTGTGTGTGTGTGTGTGTGTGTGTGTGTGTGTGTGTGTGTGTGAGTGCTGTGGCAGTGTGCAGCTGTGTAAGGTTCTCTTAGCGACTGCTTGTAGTAGTTTGTCCCAATAAAAAACGTTAGCATGTCTAACTCCGGTATTATTTAGTGCAAGCTGATTGCCGCAGATCATGCCACCGGGTCTACTCACTGATATCATGGAGGACGACGCGGAAGTCGTCTTCGTTCATGCCTTTGTAGTTGATGGGCTCCTGCAGGGCGCACATGAGACTTCCCCTGTTGCAGAACTCCATGGCAATCACCGGTGGATACTCATTCCGTGGCTGTACGCAGCAGAAAGCATAGCACACAGGCAATGGATACTCATACCGTGGCTGTACGCAGCAGAACGCATAGCATAATGCACAGTTGTGTCACCGTGTATACATTGCCGGTATGCTGTGCTTGGTGAAATTCCAGCTTGTTCGTTCTTCGGCACCCGGCAGTGCCGTAGGGAGATACATGCACTTACAAAATCGTCCATTCCCAAGAACCGTACGAGGTTAGGATGCTCGACCTGCTTCATGACATGAGCCTCTTTAAGGTGAACATGGCGGACAGACCCATTAGGACCCTCCTGTTGGTTGAATCGCTTCACAGCGACCACACGATTGTTTCGCTGTACATGTACCAAGCAAAACACACAAAAATGCATTGGAACATCATCAGCATGGCTCAAATTTAATCACTCGAGTACAATTTCGAGGACTATTCCAGTCAAGCTAAGAAACTTGATAGCCACACCAATCAGCCAACCGATACAAGCAGTTGGGTTTTCAAACTTGCAACAAAGTTTTAAAGCAATCTCCTTAGAAACTGGCCCCTACCTGGCTTCGTAGCGAAAATGAGCGACGAAGACTTTGAAGGAATAAATAAAGCCACTCGAAATCAATTTGGTATTTCTAGCCACTTCCCTGGCAACCAGAATTGGTCCGTATGATGATATAATAGAATTGATTATTACGCTCCTTTGCCTCGGCTTGGGTCAGCAGTTCTGATTAGTGTGACAGTTATTCACCTTGGTGAAAAGCTTGCTGTGTTTATTGCAGTTTGAGCACTCTGAATTTGATGCATTGAGCCGCTTTAAGAATGCTTCATTTTTCTATTAGACTTCATTGCGATCAATCGGTTCGACCAGTGACTCTGACTTGTCTGAGCTCCGCTGACAAGATCTAACAAAGATTGAAATAGCTACTTGAAGTAGCTGTCGGGAGATCAATAATTTTAATTATGTTGTACTGTAGGTATGTTTTTGATCAACCACAACACCATAACTGCACGACCTCGACACATTGCCACAGCACACCATCAGCAAAACGACACATCCGTTAGTACTGATTTCCTTTGCAGTTCGCATTCGCAGCTATGGTGTGGTGGCTGATGAAAAATATGAAAAAATCTGTACACGACCTAATGCTGTAGCTTACCCTTTATCTACAGGTATGTACCAATGAATAGGTAGGTTTAGTCCCACGTAATCCGTGGGTACTTTACGTGTGTGTACCACGTGATACTTAGTGACCCATGTACAGACGTTTTCTGATTCACGACATACCGTGTATGGTGGCTCACCCACGTTCCGCCAGAACGTGGGTGAAAATCAGAATGGAGCGCATTGTGCGAGCTGTGAGGGTGCTCTGCTGAAGAAGTTTCCGAAGCACGAAATCCAAATATTGGATGAGCTTCTTAGGCCCAGGTAGCTTCGTCTTTGACCAGGTTTGGGCCTTTCACTTCATGCTTTTGTTTGTTCCGTGTGACTAAACACAACATTGCAACGTGTGTGGGTGCCCTTCATCCACTTTACGTGGATCACCCACGTACGCGTTTCCGTTACGTGGGAACTAAACCTCCCTAATTGCACAACCGGCACATGTACATGTGCATACATGGCAAATGCACTGTTGGTGATACAAGTACATGTGCATTGTGACGTGTTTTACAGTACAGCATGCAAATGTTCTTGCAAGCAGTTAACAGGCTAGTCTCCCCGTAGCTTTGTCACTTTAAAGCCTCAAATGAAGACTGTTTACAGAAAGTACTGCAACAGGTAAGTAAGATCATGACATGGCTTTTCCAATGGTTTGGGAATTTGCACGGCTATCTGTAGAGTACTGTGAGTTCAAGCCAATGGCCGCGGCAAACGCGCGTTGAATATAGTTTTAGAAAAGTGCATGGTTCTACTTCACCAGTACATGTATGGAGTCGTGAGCAGTACCGCATGTTTAACGTTCTGGTCATGAACGTTTTTTTAATGGGTTTGCCGTTGTCAGATGAGTGAAGATATCAGTGTGAAGTAATGGCCTCCAACAGGACACTCTTGCGCAGACTGAAAGGCCTGAAATTTAATGATGTCAAGAGCTCGGACTGCAGCAATCACATAGCAAGCATTGGCTTCACGAAACTTTCATAGAAATTTCAAAATTCCGCAATCATCATTGATACATGCTTCCTGAATTTTCATTTTTAACTGCACACAGGAGTGCAATTGCCCGGTACCTCACTACAATAAAAATCAACCTGGACATTCAGGATGGGGACAGGGCTAGGGCTCGGCAAGCAGTCTACAACGAAAATTCTTTTTTTTTAAATCGTAAAAATAATGTAAAGGAGCCAAATAGCGTACCTTTTCTTCTTCAGACTATCGGCGAGGTAACGGCAAGACTCGCTAACCGATTGGGAGATATATTGAAATCTTGCAAATAGTATACAACAGAGATAGAAGCAGTACCAGCTCACCTTGTCCAAGCCTTTAAAAACAGCCGCCGAAGCCCCACTTCCCAAATAATCGCGGGTCAGCCAAATGTAGTTTGCCGTCTGCTCCAGTGCGTGATGTGGTTTCGACATTGCCAGTCCGCTCCACTGCTAACCTGAACAAACACTGAAATGAAGCCTAGCAGCGTGGTACTTCTTTTCTGATGCTTTACCATAAGCCGATGACTATTGCTATCAATAATGACAGCAATTATTTATTTTTCTCGTCCGGCAGTCTTTTCTAGATGAAAGGAGTTCTGGACTGAAGCATGCAGTGAAGCCGGTGATACACACTGTCACTGACTGTATGTTGACGGCAGAGTGCCAGTGCTAGAGGTGACCAGCATACAAGGCTACGTGAAACAGACAAGTGACGCGATGTGTAGCACAAAAAATTATGAGTCATGCTACATTACTGACTGTACTGCTGATTACGAAGTATACAGTCGACTAGTCATGAATCATGATCTACCAGGGACTCAGGCAGGGAGTCGAGTCGTATACCATAGCCTAGCATATAAACGACTCCTGAGTCCTGACTCAGGAGTCCTGAGTCGAGTCCTGACCTGAGTCCTGAGTCCTGACTCCTGGCCCTGGCCTGGAACAGACATGATCATAGTCGTACAGGCCCAGGCCCAGCACACTGTCAAACGCGTCAAACTCAACATGTCTCACTGGCCTAGTCACCATGCCCATGGTCACCAAGTCACCATGGTCCCCTGATCACTGTTTTTTTTTGTGGTTGATCAGTCATCGAGTTATATCCGGTAGATCTACCCTGTCATATGTCATGCATGCATGCTGCCTCCAGCCTGTCCAGGATCCAATTTTGTATGATATGAATCCTAGCGCTTTATCACACAATGACGTACTTTGTTATACACTTACTCAGTTGTACTTTGTATGCAGCGTTAGTAAAAACTGCCAGCGCAGCAGAGGTATCACCCACAGCCAAGGCAGACTGGCTAGAGAGCCTTCTGCACCCTCGGAGGCACATGATGCAGGACCGCAAGAGGGAAAAAGCGATCTTGCACCTGATGAAAGCCATCACATGAGAGTACTGCTCCCCTCTTTTCGCCGCCAACAGAGAGGCCACTCGTTTGTAGCGGGCTGTTGCTGCCTTGCCCATGCCTCCGCTCGCAGACATCACAGCCGGAACAAAAGTGGCATGCTCCACTTGTCTCACTCTCTCTTCGTAGTGCCTTCTTTTCTCTCTTTCGTGTCGATGATACACAGTGGTACGTGGTGCAGACTGCTTTGAGCGAGAATAAGGATTAAAAACCCGGCCATCAATAAGGGTTCACTCAAATTGACTAACATTAGTAACAATGCCAATGGATCTGAGCAACGGACTATCATAACAATGTCATGCAGTTCAGTACTGGCTTTGCACTTTGCAGAAGACTGCTTCACTCCTTTTAATTGTTTTCTGCTACATAATGAATACTGATGAGGTTCGGCCTCATTTCCTCTGTGCTGCGCTGATGAGTTCACAAAGAACAAAACAGCATGCTGTCCGCAGATTGAGTAATGAATACTTTATGGTATCATTTTAGTGCAAGAATGGACTCGGATGGAGAGCCAAGGATACATGTACATTTATCGAAAAGAAAAAGGACCAAGGAACTACAAGTTACGCTATATTGTCCACTAACACCACCAGTTACTAAACAATCAGCTCAGCATGCGGCGATAACATTGCACCACACTGACCGACGATACTGACGTTCTACAACTAACTGGCTATCAGCTCTAGCACGCCTTGGATGCGCACTCCAACAGCCTTCTAACTAATGTTACATGTACTTGGAAGGTTCTAAGGTATGATAACATGAGGAGGGGAAGGTGAGCGCAACCAAAACAAGCACGAGCTGAAAGTCTCAGCTGTGAAGGACGTTGGCGGATGTACATGCATGTCGATGACAATACTGGCAAGACCATTGGACAATACGGTCAAACCACGATTCAAGGACGCAAAGCAACGTTCCACACAACTGTTATTTGTGTGGCTCAAAGATGCGAGAATCATGCAAAACCGAACGCCTCAGTTAAACAAAATTTTATTAAAATTGTCAAAGTCGAAGTACAGTGCTAGTGCTGTTTTACTGAGGCGTTCGGTTTTGCATGATTCATGAATTCGGAGGTCTTCTGAGATAAACTACTGGCACTGCACTGTGCTCCTCTCCTCCAGCCCTGATCACCCATACTTCGAAGTATATCTTTGCACTCTTATCCTCACCTTTCACAACAGTCCCCTCTACCTCTATTATTCTGTCTTCTTTTTCACAATAATCCCTCTCCATTTTGTCTTCTCTTTCACAATGATCCCTCTCCATTTTGTCTTCTCTTGAGACTCTTCTCTCCCCGTAAACTGTCATGGTGCGCAAGCTCGCGATAACACCGAGATCACAGGTCGACGTTGTTGGCTTGCCTCACTAGCAAAGGTTCTTTCTTGGAGCCCCTGCTACAGTAAAACCTGTAACTAAAGACCACTGTGACTAGCGACCAGCCTGGTACTAGACTACAGACCACTTCAACAGGCACGGGCGGTCTCACATTCACATAATAATATTTATTATGGTTGTGCGGTGCAAACCTCTAACTAAAGACCACCTGCCACTAAAGATCGCTTTCTCTGGCCCCAAGGGATGGTCGTTAGTCACATATTTTACTGTATTCCCATTGTTGTGTTGTCCTGCTACTGGTACTTCTCTCCCCTCTTCTTACGAGTAGGTTGTATCTTCAGTAAAACAGATCACGCTTTGGGCTGTGCCACTGTAAGGCTATGTAGGTTCAAGACGTTTCGAGAAGATTTCCGCTTTCGATCGATTGGGACCAGTAAACCAGGTCTTCTGATAAGCGGCACTCCTTGAGAGTGTTTTTAAAGATAGGGAGTACAAGAACCGACCCAATTACTGAAACGACATGCAGCGTCTGAGATAGTGGCAGATGTCCAAAGGACAAGTGTCTGTACAATGGTGTGCGTGGCTTTCTTTCACTAATTTCCTCTAGAGATCGCCATCAGCGTCATGCCCGTGCTAGCAGTACTACACTAATCTAAAGCTATGATCACTTGGACCATTTTAGTGAGGAAGAGCCCTGGATTCTGGAGGACTAAGAACCATTTTGGCAGTATTGAACATGCACGCCGGTGGAACTTACTTATCGATTCTAACTTAGCTCGGAGCTGCTCAAAGTAGTTTGTCAAACCTATGTCTGGAGGTGCCATGGCCAGTGGGGGCCGGCAATCCACCCAGGCGGCGCCAAAGCGGATTTTAATAATGCATTTGTGGAGGTTGGGCGCAGCCGAACTGAGTAGTAAGTCAGTAAGTCAGTAAGTCAGTCAGTCAGTAAGTCAGTAAGTCAGTACCGGTAGTAAGTGGATCAAGTCACGCTGCAGCAGATTAGTATCATCATTATTGTTTTCGTACTATGCCTGCTGCATTCGTAATAATACATCACATCTGACTGCAAAATCCCCACTACGCAGCTCCCCAGTTCAAGGTGTAGGTTCTCTTCACTCAGTATAGTCGAGCGAGCTGCAACTCCCGGTGCCGAAAGGCGGGCTCACGCCCCTACAATACATGGCTACTTCCCCTTGTCTAACCCCCAAGACGACATGATTAGATTGTAGCCGACTGGACGAAATAAAAAAAACACGCATCACATGCTTGAAGAGTCACATGACACTAACAGCACGATCGTGGGATGCTTAGCGGAGGTGCATCTCCATCCATCCTTTTGATACAGTGGCAGGGGCCAGGTCGTGGGCAAGGCCAGCACATGCCCTGAGTTCGAGAGCTAGAGTGTTAGTCGCACGTTCTCAATACGTAACGTTGTGTCCCAGCGCTGCAGGAAACCATAGGCTATACTGTATCATATCACACAAACATTAACACCACCCGTCGCCATGCAATGCTTGAAATGCATGGCAGTGATTCGATCCCCGCTATACTAATGACGTGTAATAACAGCATGGGTTACGTCATACTTTTACTGAAGCAAGCACTTTCACTTGTACAAAACTGCTGCGTTCCTCGTTGCCACTTGCCATTTTGAATTCTGCTATCAGACAGTGAACATCACGGTTAGCAGGTCAGGTGTGTAGTAGAAGTGTTACTTTGCCCGTTTAGCCCGAATCAACCAGGATTGTAACTTGGAATAATGCAGCGGAGTACTATCAACTTGTTGTTGATGCTAATCATCATCATCTGTTCTTCATTTCTGTCCTGCCAGGGTTGGATTCCAGGAGAAACTGACTCTGATGTGAACGCATGTCTCCAACCTTCGAGTGGCAGTTTCGACTTTGGTTTTGACTCCACCGCTCACCTAGAAGGCAGTGAAATCAAACGTCCGTTGAACACCGTCATCCTAGAACCTCTCTTCTTCTCTACCCTCGCATGTGCGGCGACGTCTGCGGAAGCACACTATCATCTCAATCAGCTAGTTGATATCTCTATGTGGAGACTAATACTCTCACTGGTCCAAATGTCACAGCCCTGTGATCCTCTTATAACAATGTACTGTCAGGGGATCCAACAGTACGTGGCGAAGCACCTGGCTAGAGTGTCTGAGAGTCCCTGGAGCAGTTTAGGAGCAGACGCTAGGCAAGCAGCGCAAAAAGCATGGCATATGACCTACGGTCGCGTTAGAAGGATGTCTAAGACGCTGGATCAGCTGGCAGATCATCCGGATTGATCGCCAACCCTAATATAACCGGATGACGCATAACAGACCATGAACACGCTACCTTGTTATTTGGGAAGAAACTCCCAGTTGGATTGGCGATAAAACAGCCATCGTCATCATCATAACCACCTCCACATGCACCACCACCTGTGCTTTCTGTGCAACCATCTGATCATCATGATTGGTGGCCTCGCGACAACGTGGATGGTTAAAGGACTCCGAAGGATGTGCATGTGCCGGTGCATTGTGCAGGAAGCTCAGCTGAAATCCCATTATCTTAGTATGTGCTTATGTAGCCACATCCAGGCTGAGCCATGATTTCATTGGGTGGGTATCCGATTTGAATGTGCGAAGGAATGCAAATCCCGACCACCTCAATCCATACAGCCCGATGAATATCATCATAACGACTTAATTGTATGACTGGACCAATCTGGCAATGCGTATGGATCGACGCAACAGATCAAAGAAGTGGTCTCACACGCGCTTGGTGATGAACTCAGAGTCAGAATGAGAGTCATGTAGTC